AAAAAAGCATCCAGCGATAGAAATAGAAATGGCAAACGTACAAAAATCAATTGATTTCGGTTTGCCAATGCGAATTGGCAAATGGAGAAGCCATAGGTGGGCCAAGGATCAGGTTATTTGAGAAGAGATTTTTTAAATTTAAAGCTTCTTATGAATTTATACAATTTATTTAAAACCTTTAAAATAAATTGTTATTCAAAAACATGTACACTTAATATTACTATAATATACTAAATCTAATTTCGATTGAATTTATGAATCTGCAACATTGTTTTTAATAACAAAAGGTCATTAGGTCATTAAGCGTAGAAGTTTAGTTTTTATAAATATTATCTTAAAGCAAAATATGATTTGCAACTGTGTAAACATAATTAGAAAATGTGAACGTTTTGAAAATATAGAACATAGAAAATTAACTATAAATATATTTATCGATGAATTAATCTTTTACATTTAAATACCCATGATTTAAGATATTATTGGTGAGTTTTACGTATAATTAACAAATGCCCTTGAAATGTTTTTAGTTCCCTACTCATATTACATATGAATCATACGTACGTATGCATGAATTGACAAGGACATTGGTTGAAGTACATTATTGAACGGTTTTACCACAAATCAGACAATCCCAACATATTGGAAATCAACTAATTAAATGATGAGTGCATCTGACATCAGTTGCGAAAGTTGGTTAACTGGCTGTGTAACTGCCTGTCTGCCTGTCTGCCTAGCGCCTACCTGGCAACATGTGAATTTTGTCGGTTTCGAGTTAATGTGCAAACAGGCAACAGGATCTAAGGCAGCTGCTGCAATTCCCAGCGCACAGTTGGATCGAACAATAAATGGTTTAATTAATAAATAAATAAGTGTGTGTGAATGTTGGAGAAGTTACGAGAGTCTGTTCGTGTCAAATGCTGAGCCTGACAACACCTCGACCTCGATGCTGGCTCGATACCAACTTAAATCTCGTTCCTGGTCTCATTTGTGCGTTCGTGTGCAAATGCATTTGCCCTTGCTTGAGCGCACAGTTGGGCACAAGTGTTGTAAACAATTAATAATTAAGCTCTATAACAAGAAGCTCTTCACTAATGAGATGCACATAAGGAGCATTTGCAGTGGCAGCATTGCGTATACGTAACACGATTTTCACAACAACTCGACGCATCAGACTTTTGATATTTGATCTTCCACATAGGAATAACAGTGACAAAGAGACCGCACCTTACCAAAGCACAAAGCCAAAAGCCTTGAGCAAATAAAATACAATCTATTGACAATATTGCAGTAAATAAAAGGAGCATACAAAAGCCGTAGCATAGCCACCTATGTGGAGGCAACACCGGAAGTGGTTCAGCTATCTGAATTCTATTGACGTTGCAATACTGTATTTTGTACACCTGTAACCCCTAAGATAGACCTCTCTACTTGGAATTTTGTGTAGCCGCAACAGCAGCTTGTCAATAACCACATATTGAATACTGCAAAGGAGCGTTGTACGTACATTGTGAAATGTTCAATGAGAATCAGCAGTCAAAACACTGTTAAAATTGAATTATTTTATTATTTGTAGCACTTCTATTGTGTCTGAAATATCAATAGAAAAATATGAAGAAAATTTGGGTGAGTGGAAAAACTTTAAAATTGAATTACCATATCGTTTGAAAGCCCATACGAGACATACATATTGCAAAAAATAAAATTTTCACTCAAGCAAAATTTAAGAGCCAACTTTTTTATTGCGTGAGGGATAGGATTGTGTCTGCAATTGGCTTGCCATTGTAAATATATTTCAACATTTTAGATAACAACGAGCTTGTAGTGCGCTTTCAAGTCGAGTGGTTCATCAGAGCTCATCGCAAACCATTTAAGACAACAACCGATAGAAGGCGGGGGACGAGTCAGTGGGTCCACAACCACAAACGAGTTGGCTGCTCGTTGGATGGTTGCACTCAATTCACTGCAAATATGAAGGCAACCACAGCATGGAAAGTTTCACAATCGAAAATGATAGCTACGGGCGTTGGCATCGCATTGCAAGCCATCAGTTTCTTCATCAACGCCAACTATTTTCGACAACTGCTGCTGCTGCTCAAACTTCCGTTTCCGTTCTATTCCGTTAGCATCGCAAACTCTACACCCAATATACTAAGTAGCAAGTACTTGCCCTGTCGCGGTTTTGAACGTACGCCTCAATTCATTTCGAATTGTTTAATTTGCGAGCCACGGCATGGGTAGCCTAAGCCAGCAAAGCCGCATAATACAGAAAATTTGGCGTTTCCAACTTTGGTAATGCCGTCGAATTTCTTCGCATTGGCTTTCCCTCAAACTGCCAGCACATATGCGAGTGATGGAATTTATGGGTGTGCACCAGCAGCAATATAGTACGTATACGTGTATGTGGTGGGTGTACACAAGAGGCAGTTTCCATTCGAAGAGCTTACCACAGCGCATACCTTGAGGCGCTTCATGAAAATACAATTAGTGCGATTTGAATATGGTACTTATGGCCAAAGTTGTTGCAAGTCCTGTGGCATTTTTCGAACTGCCTCTGCCCATCAAATTGCTCATCAAATTCAATTATAATTTCATTATATCGAGCAACTAAAGCATATGCTATGCTTCAAAGTATTTGCCACTGGCAACATCGAAAATTTAGCGAATTAGGGACTGAAAAGACGTCCCATTCCAATATGAAATGCAGTTGCAGTTTGTACTTAAATATGAATAATTTTTTTTTATTTTTGTTGTAAATACATTTGTACAAGTACAAGTATGTAATTGTCAATATGCGCGAATAAAATAGGAATCGAAAGAAATTTGCATAAGATAGTCGGTCTAGGGGGAGCCTGTAGAGTGTCCGAATTAGCGATAGCGTACTGTATGCTGTACATACATATATCTTAAATCAATGAAATTATATCGACAGCCGCCAATGGACGCAGCAGTTAAACGAATCACACTTAAATGCTCCAATCAGACGTGAAATTTGTTCATTTGCACCAGCCAAGTGCATTTGCATGAATAAATGAATGATTGAATGGCTATGTATGCATACTCGCATATGTGAGTCAGGACAGATGCATGCATGACTGCGAGACACGCACACACACACACAAGCACACATACACTCACGAATTGAGCGAAAACAAGGTACGCCCTGGGCTTTCCAAATGATATTGAAATATAAATACAAACGCATTGGGCAAAAATACGGGGGGCATAAGTGAAGCAATCAAGCGCGATATTTGCGCGAATCGACGCGTAACTGCAGAGCTAGAGAAAGAGCAATTGACAGCGAAAAAGAGAGTGCGAAAGCGGGAAAGAGAAGGAGAATGCGATAGTGAGAGAGAGGGACTCCACGAGCAGACATCTTTTAAGATGTCAAGTGCACATGGCAGCATACACACATCAATGCTCAAAGAAGCATAAACACACACACACACACACTCGCAGTCGCACTCCCTGGCAAACGAAATTACGCTGACTTGAGGGGGAGGAAGCTTTAAGCTTTGGCACAAATGCCACCACATTGCATTATTGACTTACAGTCGAGGCATTCAAATAACAATGCAGCTTCAGCTTTGAAAATATTTGCGAGTCGAGACAAAAATTGGCAGCGATGCAGACGAGCAAACAAAAACAATGGCGCACGAGGGCCCAGTTGCTGGCACAGCAACTGCACAGTAATAACAAAAAATCAAGCCAAGCGCATAACTATGTATAATAGAAATGCAACAACAACATTACAAAAACAAACATAATGCTCGCTGTTTAATTTGACAATCAGCCGCAGACTGCGTATAAGTAGAAACTGCGAACAAATTTCCATTCCCCATTGCCTGCCAAGCACTCTCGAACTGCACCCCATAAAACAACAATATTATATTAATATAAATACTATTTGACTAAAATAATATTTAATTATTTTAGAAAGCCATATAAAAATCTAACCCTATACTATTTTTGGCCAGAAGAGATGGTTCGCCTCTCGTTTAAGGGTAGCGATAATTAAATAGTCATCGAAGATAACATTAACATTTTCGAGTGATCTTTCTAGTGATGCTATAGGCTGTATTTACATTCACAATAAATAGGTATGCTCATTATATGGATTTATTAATTTTGGTAAATAATCATTAAAAGACATTGTTGTCATGAATATTAATTTCAAATCATTATTATGCATTAAAATTTTCATCGACAAATCATATTCTCTTTTTATCAAATTATCAACTTTAATCATTTCACAAAGCTGGGCAAATCAATTTGACCATTTCCACTGATGTGTTTTTTTCTGTGTAACCATTGTCATAGGTTGAAAGGGTCACAGTAATGAATTTATAATGCATCGATATTCCAATTTCAATGGAAAATTTATAGCCGTATACAATGCACCTTGGGAAAAATCATGGCTTACCGGCAAAAATGACAGCCAGACCATTAGATGCAAATGGTTGCAAATTCTAAACATTCCTCACCATACTACTTAAATAATTTTCACAATCGTCCTAATTGATTAGGAAATCTACACTCAGATCACCACAAATATATATCCACCGAGCCGACAAAATCCATTAGACAATCATATTTTGCAAATCAAACCATTTTTAAACAAACTCTAAGCAAAAAATAAGTCGATCCTGATTAGCTTCTTCTACATTTCAAATTATTTAACTAAAAGTATTAAAGTTTTTCTTTATAAATTTACATAAATAAACTTCTGTTTAAAGAAAATTTAGTTATTTTTTCAACAAGTTTTCATAAAATACCATTTCCTTTAGAATTTAACCATTTCCTTATTTTGATGGTTTCTTTAGTCTTCATACACAAATAAAACTAAGCTATTCATTTATATTTATTCGAAATTTATATTTTAAAAACATATATTCTTAGATGCGCTATAAATCATGTACGAGTATGCCTTGTCTTACAAAGTATGTAATCCATAGTGCTGGACCCAAACCGGTTTCTATTGTTTAACAACAGCAATGAGATCATGAACTGCTTATTTCGTGGCATTGTTTTGCTAAACTTGATCTATCAGCTGTACGAGTAGTCTTAAAGTAATAGCTTGTCGCTGTGACAGTCGCATCTGTTTCTCCAAGTGCCTCACAATGAACACTACGCTGGGTAAGCAAATTTAATCAAATTTGATTTGAACATATATTTGAAAACATTTACGGAAAATTTTGAATCTAATTTGGCAGCATATCTGGGCGCTCATGCCATTATTGCCCTCGTACTAGCCAAAATGGCGGCTGCAGGTACCATACTGCCTCCGATCAGCGCCAGTCCCATTGTATTTGCACGCAAATTCTTTCGGGCCATTAACGAGGAGGAGCCGCTCGTCAACATGGTGGTTTCTCCTGCCGCCGCCCGCAGCGGTCTGACACTTGCCTTTATGGGAGCCCATGGCAAGGCAGCTGAGGAGCTACGTGCCGGCCTACTCCTTGGAGTGGCCAAGAAGCCGGTTATAGCCAAGAGACATGCTGAGTTCTGGAGCAAGGAGTGTACCTGCAGCGACCGAGGTGTGGCTATGCGCCTTGCCACGCGCCTTTACGTAAAGGACGACGAACAGCTGCAGCCCAACTTCAATCAGACTGCTGCAGAGTTCTTCAATGCACAGGCCGATGTTCTAAATTTGACCAATGTGGATGATGCAGCAAATAGGGTTAACAAGTGGCTAGAGATGCAAACTTTCCACACAGTGCGTAATCTTCTGACTCCTGCAGCTTTTAACGATGAAACTAGCGTTATACTCGTTAACTCGCTCTACTTTCGTGCCAAATGGGACAAACGTTTTCCATCAGAGCGCACTAAACTGAAGGACTTCTGGATCAATCCAGAACAACGCATGGAAATTCAGATGATGCGTCAAGAGGACCAGTTCAAATATGGTGAATCCAAGACACTGCGTTCTAAAATTATAATACTGCCCTTCGAGGAGTCTGAAGTAAATATGATGATCATAGTGCCGCAGGACAAAGATGGATTACCAGCTCTGGAGCAGAAGTTGCAGGAAATGGATTTAAATGAAGTTGCCGCAAAAACGATTTGGAAAGATGTCGAAGTAGTACTGCCCCGGTTTAAAATTGAGTGTGATTTGGACTTGAAAGTGCCGCTACAAAAAGTAAGTGGTCTAAACTGATCTCAAATTATATAAAGCTGATATAAAATTATAATATTAATCATTTTTAAATCAAGACAATTTCTACCATATCAAGTACTGATTTCATTAGCGGGCTGAATCTTGATACAAATAGCTATATGTATATCTTCTCTGCCAAATCATATAATTTATCATTTATTTCAATTTCTAAAGTGCACCTTTTCTCAAATACAATATATGCAGATAGTGTTTTACAATTTTTAGTTTTAAAATTTAACACTTTACGCTTTTAGCTGGGAATTTCGCGTATATTTGAACCTGGGGCTGACTTAAGCGGAATATTTTTGAAACGCTCAGAAACACCGCAGAAGATTTCCGAAGCCAGGCAAAAACTCTACTTGGATGTGAATGAGTCTGGTTGTGAAACGGATCCGGATACCGGTAAGTTGATATCGCACTCAGTAGCGACACTATTAACTACTGCTTCTTTCCTCTTTTCTTAGCACCAGACACTGGCACTATGACTGAGAATCCAAATCGCAAACAATTCAAGGCAGATCGTCCGTTTGTCTTTGCTATTCGCAACAATCAAACAGTTTATTTCGTGGGTCATTTTGTCAAGCCCTGATAAATACTTAGGTTCCTATGCTGCACTGTGATTATTTCATGGGTAGCAGGGCGAATGATTTTAAAATAAATATACATATATAGTAAAGGAGATGTGCAATAAGAAAAGCAATTGCAAATTTTTTATTACGCGCGATATCAATGACTGATTTTGCCATTGGCTAGAAATGACAATATACTCGTACCATGGACATCAAATTATTGCCGGACAAATGTGCACAATACACGGATATAACAACAAATACCAAAAACAGAAACAGAAACACAACAGCACAAAACAAATAACAAAATGACAGTCAGCACCAACGGCTACAATGCTCAATCGTCGAGCGGCGGACACGGGGCTAGATCATTGCGAAATTCGCTGATATGAAAAGGATGTATACAAAGGGACCGACGATGATGGCGTGAGAGGGGGTCGGGGCGTGCAACAGGCACTAGTGGGCGCACAACAATTGCAAATGAAAAAAGTTAAAAGCAGCAAACGAGCAGAGCAGTGAAAATGCCTTTGCAACTACATACCCATGCTCGTACTCCCACAGAAACACCGATGCCCATTGCTATTCTCATACCATGGCTATTTCTTTTTGCGCCCAACTTGTTAGCCAATTTTAAATACAACTGCTGCCACTGACAGTAATCAAGATTGCACGGCTGCCGCAGTAACAACAATGCCATTCGCCATTCGCCATTCACCATTCCGCCATTCCGCCATTCGGCTGCGCCAACAACAATTGAAAAATAAGTAATTTCTCAACTGTAGTGAACTGCGAGCGGCGGGCAACAATAATAACAACAGCAACAACAACTAGAAGGCGAGACAAGATGGCCAAGTCGGCCGCAAACTTTGCCGTCGCCCATCGCTCCAATTCATCGATGATTGTCGTGGACGCGACTGCCCGTTTGCCGTCTGCCTTCTGCTATTGATGGCAGACGAACCCACGAACCCCCTCAACCCCCCTCCACCACCACACAAGATGGCGCTGTCTGAGCTGAGCTTGCTGCCCGGCTGTGACCAATGTTTATCTTTCAGTTTGCGCTGCGTATCTGCCACGCTTTTCTTCAAGTATAGTTGTACTACATTTTGCCAAATGGCGGAAGTGCAGCTGCACAAACTTTACCGAGCTTCGTTCGTGTACTCGCATTTTGTCATTTCCCGTCCTGGCAGAAAACTGAGCTAAAGTCATTTACCAAAATGCTAATGTAATGTCATACTCGTTATAATGAAATTTAATGTTATGTGCATGAAATCATTACAAACATTCATGGACAATTGCAGCTCTTTCAATTTGTTTGTCCCACTTCGATAAGCTTTTAACATCGGGCTAAGTACTTACATACATATAGTATATAGTATAAATGGATGTTGTTGCACATCCAATCTATCTACATAGTATCAACATTTGCTGGGCGCAAAGTTTAATAATATGGAGCAAATCAAGCACTCGAGCAATATAATTTGAGAGCAAGCATCCAACAATAGCAATGCCAGAGGTTACAAAATTATATTTTGAACGCTTTATTGCACGACCATACACCATACACACGCACTGCATAGGTGACACAATGACTATGCACACACACTTATAACAATAGTAATAATAATGGCAATTCCAGCAACAATTGGCCTCTCAAATCACCTTGCGTACGATACTGTTGTTTGTGTTTGTACTCATATTAGTATTTGCTGCAGCATAATAACAACAACTATTCAAATCACAGCATGTAAATTGCACAACTATTGAGTATATAGTATTGCAAGCACTCAAGGCCATCTGATTAAGACGTGCTCTCCTCCCATCCACATACGTACATACTATACATACATATGTTTATTAATCTTCATTAGTCAGACCAAAAATAATTGCATACGCTCCCGCTTAAGGGCTGTGCGCGTGTGCATCTGTGAGTGTTCGTGCATAATATCAATAATAGCCATAAATGTGTATACACATTATGTATTGTGTACAGTTAAGCCATGAATATAGAATAAAGGCGGCCAGGAAATCTTTGCGGAAATCAAATTCATTAAAGTGATTTCAGTCTTATACTCGTAGTATAGCAAAAGCTTGAAAAAATTGGAATTTTCTTTCATATCCTAATTCCTTCCCTTAAGGCTCTGTGCCAATACACTTAACATAGGACTAAAAATTATTGCACCGCTAACGTTTAATTCTTTTTACAATCATTTTAGTTTAAGTTTAATGTTTAAGCCTAGTCTTTGAATAAGTTTTTGCGTATTTGGAGCATAATTTATAAATACAAGGTATTATTATTTCATTTATAGCAGTAGATTAGTTATGTATTTTCTTATATGTAGAGGTTTCTTTAATTAAATATTATTGTGGAAAATTAACAAAACTTGCAGATACCACGAATTAGAACCTAACGCTCATATCGAGGATTGCTCGTACATATTTTCAGCGCACAAACAAAGAAACTCACTCCATATATAGTAGTCGTGATGCTTTAATAGGATTGTGCGAATTGGGATATTTCGTTACCATGGCGGACATCATTCGCTGACGTGTCTCGCATGGTAAGTAGTTCTTGCCTTTTTTCACAGCGTTTTCTACTTAGACATCTGGTGTTGAATGTATATTATTATGAGCTTAACATTTTGCGAGAAGAGGCTTTAAAGCCTTAGATATGCGGGCAGGCCAGCACAATAAATTAATTTTCAATTTACGACTGACCCCACATGCAAGAAAGTTACACTCGTCTGCTTATTCTGGCTGTGGCTGCCGACAGGTGTGGCAGCTCGTCCTCATAGAAATGGCCTGCCATGTACTCACTTATCGTTTGGCTGCAGTTCAACCTCAAGCACCGGTTAATCCATCAAAAAAGTGCAACAGCCATCTTGCCACGTGACTGGCGGAGCATGCAAAGTGCTGCCGCTGCTGATAATACGCCGTCATGCAGATGATGCTGAAGAGCAGACAGCGGTTCTACTTTGTGGCTACGCATACGTACTTCTAGCATTGGCTGACGTGATAAACTGGCAGACTTTAGACAATTAAGAGGAAAGAGTTGGGGAGCGTTTCACCCAGAATAGTTGTTAATTTCGATTGCTCCTGCCCAACGACCAACACTATGTTCCTCCTTAACTCAAATGGCAAGTCAGCGACAAAAGGAACCCTTCTTAGCAGCTACATTTATGTGAGGGACCTTGGCAACTTTCTTAAGTATGCAAAATCTGTAAGACGAAAAGCAAAACAGAATAAAAAAAAGGGAAAAATGAAAACGCATAAAAACGCACCAAGTCTGACAGGTGATTTAAAAGCCATTTGTCAGCAAAGACGACAACGGCGACGACGACGAGAACGACGACGGCAATGACGGCGGCGTCGCCTTTTGAAAAGTGGTTTGGGTGATTGGCTGGGGTCAGTGAAATTATTCAAATTATCTTGAGGAAGATTTTACTGTCAGGTGCCACGGCAACAATAACAACAATAGTCACGACTAGCTAAAGGCTGGCAGGTAAGCTCTTGCAATTGCTTTTGTATATCCGTTCATCCCCACCCGAGCTGCACTCAAACGACGCAGAGCAGCTTTAGTGGCATTCTTATATTTGTTGCTAGCGCGCTGCCAAACGTGAACTTGCGTTCTGAACCCGACGTCGCTATTCTGATCTGGCAGTTGACAGTCAACAGCCGCCAGGCGATTGCTGGCCAGTATGCCAGTCTGCCAGTCTGCCAGCCCTCCCCCTAGCCACCATTTTCGCCTCCTGTGCTGTTGTTGATGACATTTCGAGATCCCATCTATTATAAGTGCTTACCGCTTGGCGTGCATTGACATTTGGCTAATAGCAAAAACGTCATCGCTCTGTGAACACCGACAAACAATCGGCCACAATGACAGGACGACTGCCTCTCGGCCGCTCTCCATTTAATGGCAGAAATGTCTAATTTACGCTTGCCCTTCTGTGCACGAAGGGTGACTTCACATTTGGCCGAACATCTTCTGAAATTTAAGGCCGGGACTAGCTCAAGAGCTTTAAACTGTCAGAGCTGCCTCAAAGCTTATAATCATTTTTCTTCACAGAGCATATATATACAAGTATTTGTTCAATTATTTGTCTTTAAAAATTATTACTTTCAGAAGAAAGAAATCACGTAAAAATTATATCTGAACATAATGGAAAAGTATAACAACAATTAGCTCCATCTATTCCACAATATCAACAGCACAACTTCTGTACAGTTTCATACTTGTATGTTTTAAAATACGTTTAATAAAAGTCAAAAAAAAAACTGCCTATAATTTTAAAGCTTTAGTCATACTTTCCCCAAACACTAAGAATTGAAAACAAAAATACAGATCATTTTTTAAGAAGCTGTCATAATTCGTTCAACAGCTGGAAGCCTTCAAGAGGTGGCAAATCGACGGCATTCATAAATCAGTTAATGTGATTCATTGATTAGAGCGCTTTGTTAGCCACACATGCAGACGGCATCGCAATCCTCCAATATTTAGTTGGGTTGCAGACATCGGCTGCCTTTATGTACAAATTAATGTGCGTGCTCTGGGCCAACGAAGAACGAACACATTCAACATGGCTGTCGCTTAATCATTCCCACACTTGCGCTGGAGTGAAAGCACCATTGATTAATATTATGGGCCAGCGGGAGGCCAAATGTGAAACTAAATTGGCTATAAAAGTCCAAACCAATTCGAAATATGTGCACACAAACTTGTAAATATTCTATATAGATAATGATTGCATCTCCAATGATACAATTAGAATCAAATTCAGTCGATGTCAAATATACTCGTATATATAAACGCCCGAAATTGAGCCTGTCTGTCGAAGCAATCAAAAATATTGCAACAATTAAAACTCCTTTAGTGTATTGTATTGGGTCACAAAAGCAATTAACTACACTATTCAGAAATAGACAACACACATGTATACGTATCTTTCCCCGTTGTTCTTAGGAACTAGTAGGCACCACTTTGGTGGCCACCGGTACCGTGTTCGGATGCTAAGAAAAATAATTATTTATTTTGTAAGCTATTAGAATGTCTGTTAACTGGTTATAATATCAAACAAATTATTTAATAATTAGGTTATGTAGGAGTGCTAAAAACATCTCTTTGAAACGATGATTT